ATTATAATCTTGTTCATTTAAGACCGAACAAACCTTTGTGAAGACATTCACTGACCAGTTGTTTGAAAGTACTGTTGTTGATTGGTACGGATTCCCGAAACAGTTCGGACGTGATACTGGTGGACCGTTTGACGGAGACGGGATTACCACTGTTAAGCAAACAGATTTTGACACTGACTTACAACAGTTATATCCTCAAATAGGCAACGGAAATAATTACGATCCAAATGAGTGAGTGGATTTGTTCTCTCATTACATCCAAGACGTCGAACGTTTAAAATAATGAGATTTTTTCAGGTTGATAGATGATTTGAATGGCGTCACGTTCCTCGACGGAACAGATAACACATGTCTCATCCTGTTCTATGGAAGGTAAAAGCGTTTGTTATTCAAATTCTGTAGTATATTGAGCGTCATTTCAGTGATGATACTCTAAACACAATCAGCAACCAACACTTTGGTAAAATATTTGGAGTTCAGATCAATAGTAAGAAACTCTCAAAAGCTTCCAAACGGTTTAAATGTTTTCAGAAGCTAAATTGAGCGGCACCGGAATCGACGATAAAAATATAATGACTGTTAAAGACTTCTCTCAAGCGGAAGCTGACCAATTGGTTCAACTCATAACATCTGGAATGTAAGCAGTGCCATAGGGGCTTAGTAGTCAAGAGCATCCTCAGTATTTGTAAGCTTTACTGTAACATATCGCTTGGTTGTGTGAGAAATGATTTCTCGATCTCATTTTCATGGAAAATTATAAATATAACTTGAGCATGAAAAAACTTTTAAAGGTGTTAATAAATTTTTATTGATGAGGGACGTTTTAAGCTTATAATGAGATGAATGAATCGATACTCAGTCAAGTGAACTGATAACGAGAAGAGTGAGCTTCTTTCATTTTAAAAGAAAAATCAAAAGAATAACTAAGATTCTCATTTATTTCTAACGTATTGAATTGTTTATAACCTTTGCAACCTATCAATGATCATAATCTCCGAAACACAAGAAACATAAATGTGATATTCACTCAGTGCGCAGCTTAATCGTCTTTGTCTGATCTCATCTCATAGAATGCCCTGTTCATATGATTAAAATTTATATTTTTCTGTATTAAAATTAAACAAAATGTTAAGCGAAATCTTCAAAGGCAATAGCTGATTGAGTCTTAAAAGCATAAGGAGCGGAGATTGTTGAACTACAGCTTTAAGCTGTGCTCTGACGCTGGATGTGAGTGGCGCGTTCCTGAAACACGTATGAATCAACATGAGATTATATTATTATCTATACCTCTCCTTCCTTATTGAATAGGATGGTTTGGACGGAATTGCCTGTTCCGAAGGAATCTTCAGCATCGAAGACCAATTGGTCAGGTGGGGAAGCAACTCCTTGGTTGCGGGCGAAGATCTGTAAATGTCAATAGATAGATGATTCATCATCACATCAAAACACATACCTTCACTGTTTTTCCAGCTCTAAGGACAAACTCTCTAGGTAAGGTATACACAATCTCGCGCTTTCCATCGATTCGGCGTTTCAACTTCCACTCACCGACATGCTGAATACCACAATTCATATTCAAACAAAAGTTTTTTTCATTAATACTAACCTCGTCTTTGGAGCGGTGGGTATTCTGGAGGACGACGTACTTTCCATCAGGAGAGGCCTCGTGGATGGAGACATTACCCTTGGCAGAACGTTGGAAGGATTGTCGAGAAGCTGTTTCTCCCTTGACAACTCTCATTGTCTCTGAAAGTAATAAGTTTTACAGATTAAAACTCTTTCTCGCAAACCTGTATCTGTCTCTTGGGTGATGGCATGAGTCTTAACGACTTGTTCAACAAGTTGCTTAAGGCCGGCACGGTTTTCTTCTCCTTCCAACATCTTGCGGTAAATGGCGATTTCAGCATCAAGGGTTTGCTTGGTGTCGAGGAGCATTTGCAATTCGACCATAAGGGCTTGGCATTCCTCACGCATCTTACGGATTTGGGAATCGCGATCGTTGAGGGCAGCTTCGTAGGATCTAAGATTAAATTGATCAGTAATGAAATCAGCGTTAAATTATAAGTTAAACCTTTGATCATCTTCAAGTTGATAGTTCAACTCTTGGATTTGTTTCTCGAGCATGGAGTTCTGAAACGCAAAACGAGTTTTCTCTGGTTCAGCTCAGAATGAAACTTACGCGGCTTTCTAAATCAGCCAACTTTCCTCTCAGATCGCTGAGTTGAGTTCTGAGTCTCTTGACCTCTTCCTTAGCATAGCCATGTTCCATAGTCTATAATTGCAAAAGTAGACAACATACTCAAAGGGGTATGTACCTGGCGAGCGCTCTGAGTTTGAATCTCTTGAACCTTCAATCTGTACCAAGACTCCATATCATTACGATGAACGTTGCTGACCTATCATATTAAGAAATAAGTATAAGTTGTTAACTATAACCATACTTGATCATATTCCTCACGAATGTCTCTGATGGCAGAAGACAGTTCATTCTTGAAGAACTCGCGATTCTCAGGTGTAGTATCACGAGAAGCCAAAGTCTATAAAAAGATCGAATTGTGAGTCTGCCTCGCATAATCTCTTTCTGTACCTGAAGATCCTTGATCTCAGAATCGTGAACTCGTCGAAGGAAATCGATCTCTTCGAGAAGAGTTTGAACTTGATTTTGATAATCAATTCTGTTTAATGTCTCTTGATCCAAATCCTAAATCATGTATATTGTAACGAATAGATTCAGCTTAATCTAGCTTACAGTTCTAGCACGTTGAAGCTCACTCATCAAACGATGGTTCTCTTGCTTGATACGCTTGACTTCATCCTCAAGTTGAGCAATACGTCTCTTGAGCAGAGAAATTTCAGCCTAAACAGTTTTGATAATGATTGAAATGAGGATTAGATGATATACCTCGAGCTGGCTAAGCTTAACAAGAAGATCATCAATCTTGGCTCTGTCTTGTTCTCTTCCACGAACAGCTTCTTCATATCTGATAAATGATGGTTATTGTATTGTATTCAGAAACATTTCATTAAGACAAAGCCCAAGACTAGCAAAAACTAGTTATGATGGGCCATTTACTCGATCAATCGGCTTAGTTGTTTCGAAAAGATTGACAATTGACGAAATTTAATTCTCGAAACAAACACAACTTCTGAATTCTATTCTTCAGCTTCTCCCTTCTCTTGCCCTAGCATTCGCTTAACACAAACGGAATAGGAATGAGCAATCATCAGAAGCAACAGAAGAGAAAAAAAGATTTGTTTGCTTTACAAGCAGCAAACTTTCTTTCTCACATAACCTGATTACGGTAATTTGATGCTTTAAAGACTTATGCTTACGTATATTCAATCGATTTTTCAATATTTTTCGTCCATCAAAGGTCTCAAACATACTTTCGGCGGATATCAGCAAGTTCATCTTGCATCTTCTTGATCTGATTCTCAACATCCTTTCGTTGTTTGTTCGTTTCTTCAATGAGCTTTTGAGCATCCTGAAAAACACATTTACCTTATATGAAGTTCTATTTAAGCATAACAGTCATCTTCCCTTCTCCCATCACCTTGCCTTTCTCTATCTCTCTGACTCTTTGTATCTTTGACAACAACTCTTCTAACTATACTTTATGTGAGCAAATAGGCCCATAAAAGGAAATTTCTTATTTATGTAAAGCTAACACATGAATGATTCATCTATTCAATCACTTTTTCTTATTTAGAAAAAAAGATCTTTTCTAATAAACATACAGATAATTCTCCTTCGTACATGTTGCGGATGTTGTGAGTATCTTTTCCCCATTTGCCACGAAGCATATCGAGGTCAGTAGCCAACTTACGGTTCTGAGCTTCAAGGAAACGAACCTAAATATATCATTTGCATATTCATCTATCTAACTACAATAATACTTTTTCGATGTAATTGGCGAGACGATCGTTCAAATCAGACATTTCCTTCTTTTCGCGTTCGCGAGAGTCCCTGATGGTACTCGCGGCATTCTGGCCGAATGGAGACATTCCAGAGCCAGCTCCGCTACGCATTTCCGTAACGATTTTCAAAGTACGGTCATGAGCTTTAATGAGTAAATTAACAATCAATAGCTTCTTTGAATCTTACCGATGGTGCTAGCAGTACGGCCAGCTAGAGGAGCTCTAGCGGCGGGTGACGATGTGCTGTACGACATCGCGGAAACTAAAAAAAAACAAAAATGAAATGATGTATTGTATATGAGTAAGTGAATGAATTAAAGAAGTGAAGAAGTTATGGCAGAAGACCGACGGTCTCTTGAACTACGACTAGATCAGATGCCGAAGACATGACGAAGAGCCTTCTAGGAGAACCCGCCCTCTTGGTCATATTGACGAATGTGATTAGAGACGATTTCGTTAAAGGAACGAAAAGAGAAATATGAAGAGACCTTCGTGATGAAGTTATAAAACTTTACGAAGGCACATACACGAATTACAGGATTATGTGGGAGAAGGAGGAAAAGCTTAAATTTGCTCAACAAAATTGTTACAAACTGTCCGTCCAGTTTTTTGCTGTATGGAAGAGAGCTGTATAGGCTGTGAGAGAAGAAAAAGGAGAAAACAATCAATAATGTAAAATTTCCTTTTAAATATTTGTAAGTAAAGATGATTTTGAGTGTGATTTGGGACAAAAAGTTCGTCAATGAAATTCTAGTTCTATCATCAAGCTTTTTCAAGTGGAAGTATGTATGTCCGATACCACCGAAAGAAAAGAACGAACGAGGGTGAATGGTAAATGTGGAGAGAGTAACACTGAGAGGAGAGGGATGAATTAAACGACAAAAATTTTTGAAAAGCATTTTAGACCACAAAAATCTTCTGAAACCATTTTTTGAAAGGTATGACGATGCTGTCGATGGACGGATTGAAACCAAGGTAAAAGACATAAAAGGAATCAGTTGTCATCGATGTTTCTTCACCTCCTTTAGCCAGTTGGCCCATAAAAGACCAATTGTCAACATTTGGAAGAATAGCAAAATGGTAGAACGTGAAACGACGTGTTTAAGTCAAATTCTGAGATGACAGTCGACCGTCATCACCTATTATAGTGGCAGAAAATTGAAAGAGGCGGACGTTTGAGGTCTTCTGAACTATCCGACGAGAATCAAACAGCCTTTGAAATTCTTCTAGTTTTCGTCAAAATCACAAAAAAATGTGAAATTGATGAGACATGAAGAAGAGGAAGAAAAGGTGGAGCCCCTCACGGTATGTGAGATAAAAACTGAGAGAGAATGTTAAGAAGGCGATTGCAAAATCCGAAATAGGGATGACGTTCACCTATACTATATGCTTTCAATGTCTTAACTCTCCAAACTGGTATGCTATAGAGGCCAAACACATACCACCACACCCTTAACTGGTAATAAAAAAAATTGTTTGATTTCTTCAAAAAATCCATGATTATATGCAAATAGATGTTTGTTTAACAAAATGAATTAAGAACAGCAACCGGTCAGAGCTGCATTGGATTGGAAAACGAATGCTGTCATCGGTACAGACGGTAGTGAGTAAGCCTAGTGAGAAACATACTTTCACGTGTGATCTCCATTGTAGTATGCAGCTTGATGACAAGGCTCTTCTACCAAATAAGGAGATCTTGGGTAATCTGTAAAAAAATATTATTTTTGTCGTTCAAACAATAGAAACCAGTAAGTGTCTCTCATTCAATACGGAAAAAAACGAAAAAGTTTCTTTAATAATCCATAATTATCGGTCAAACTAGATTGTTTCGAAGAAATTGTTGACGTTTAGAACGTAAATGTATTGACAAAAAGGGTTGAAAATGTAATTTTCACTTTTCTTTTTTCGAGGGCCAGGTCGGAAGCCTTTGTGAGAATGTGTCTGGTAAGGCTAGAACTGTGTTTTTTGGATTGAAGGGAGTGTCCAAATCAGATAAGAAAAGCAAAGTTTCGAGGAAAAAAATGGAAATACTTCTGGTCATTGTGGTGTTGATTCACTAACTGAATGAAAGCATCGAGATTATAATAAAGAGGGAAAGAGAGAGAGAAAGGGAAAGAGGAATAGAAAGAGATGTGTGGAGGAGGAGTGAGAGAGAGAGAGAATGGATGATGATCGGCTAAAGGTAGAATAGCTAGTTGCTGTAATTATGGGATATAACCATTGAATGTAGAGACAGACTGGATGTATTTATAAATTTTTAGAAGGAATAAAAATGGGAAAACGATACAAATATTTCCCTCTCGACAGTCATTGGGTGTATGTAACGTGTGTGTCTGTGTGTGTGCGTGAGTGAGTGAGTGAGTGAGAGAGGAGAGAAGAGAACTGACTGTTAGATATTAGAAATTGAGCTTTTATACATTACATTCTACCGCCCATTTACCTAAAAATGGAAAGGAAAAACCGTAAAATGGTTACGCTGAAGTAAAATTCTAAAAGTTAATGTGAGTCATCAGAATTCAGACTTCTGACGACGAGGCGGGTAACAAAGGCTAAAGTAAAAAATCTTTTCCATTACATATTACATTGAATGTTTCATAAAATAGAATTACGGTAGCTTTCAAAGGATTTCTAAATTGTAAAGATCTTTATTTAAGAATACATATTCATATCATTTCTAAATGATAGTGATGATGATGATCAATCGTCCAAAATTGCAACCTTCCCAACTGAAATCCATGAAATTAGCATATACATTCATTAATTGACGTCTACGTGAAAATATCATTTTGACATTTGATGTCGCATAGAGCGGTTGCATATTGTCCTCCTCCTGTTCATCGTTCGTCTTCATCTCCAAATCCTTTTTTTATTATTTTTTTTGTTTCTCTCTCTCCCTCAATAACATATATTTAAGATTTATAATAGGATTTAAGCAAAAATAGATAAAATAAACTTTATTCCATATAAATATACACGAAAATGACATTTGGCTATTAGAACACGGAACTTCCAAGCAATCACGAATCAATAGTACATTAGGTTGTGTATAAAAGGAGTTTGAATGGGATCTTCTTTTCTATTTCAAAAAGAAAAAATAGAATTATAGTCATTACATCCACGTGTTTATCTCACATTCTGCGAAACAAAACTATAATTTTGCTTTTTCCGCTTTCTTTTTTTCCCAAAAACTGTTTTGAAAAGTTTTTTTAAAGTTATATCTATATATATATATGTATGTGTATGTATGTATGTGTGTGTACATGCACTTTGTTGTATCGTTGTTCAGTTGGCTGTCGTCTTAAAATGGATGTCTTCGATAATTCGTTGTTTATATATTTGTTTTCGTTCAGCAGTTACAAGAAGAACATGCAGAACATCGAGCACGTAGCAGTGATGTCCATCACTGACTGACCTCACATCCCACACACCCACACACACTCACACTCACACGCATCTACTTCCAGACGTCGGAGTTGTTATGATATCCGGAAAGTTTACAAAGTGAAATGCGTCTTTGATTGTCTCTGATAATACTTCTAATCTGTTTTTTTGTATAAATATATCCTCTTATCTATAAATAAGATGATGGTCTGGAAATTATGAAGAATTATCAGATCCGTAGCCCATGGCTGCGGTTGTTTTGGCTTCTTTTCATGTTGAGAATAGAACTTATTAGGTTTCTTCATGTAATTTACGTAATTTATCATCACACTCTTCATGAATTCACATTTGATTGAAAAGTCAGCATTGTCCCAATCCAATTATGATAAGCATCGTCATTTCCGTAATTGTCTTATTCAATTTGTAATTATATACTTCTCCAATCATTCTTGCCTCCAACCCAAAATAGTTTTCTGAAATTAAAGTTTTTTCTCCATATTCCTCTTCTTCTCTGAAAGTGTTGTTTCGTTGATATTTTTTGGCCACATTTTATCAGAAGTTTAAGTATGGCTGACGATAGCGTGATCATAGCTCCTCATAGAGGCTTCAGCAATAAAGCTCGTGAAGTATTGCTTGGACATGATGGCTATCCAAGTAAGTTTTTTTTCTTTTCAATTATGCCACTTCGTTACAAACGACTTCCTTTTCTACCCTCGCTCACAAATGTTTGCTGCTTAACTTTCAACGGATAATTTCCTTTTTTTGAAATGATAATATTTCCGACAAACGCCTCCTCGGAGCTCTCTCATAAAGCTCAAAGGATATCAGTTGGAGATGCAGCTTCGGTTGTTATGGTGACCACCCTAAGCTTTAGCTCAACACTTTTTTTTTATAGTTTTCCTCCTCTTCCCCCATCTCAAGTATTTTCATGACGACATACCTATTATTCTTCTTCACTTCCAGGAATGCCACCTAAATCTTCCAGTGAATACGATTTGAGAAAACGACTGAAGCTGTGTTCTCTGATAAAACGGACTGATAGTCAAAATACTACATCAAACAAATCCCAGTCGTCTACCCAATCTGTACAGGATCCCCGTAAGTTATCATTATTGTCTGCAAAGTATTCAGTCTCATATATTCGCAGCTTGTTTCGACTCGATCGGAGAAGAGCCAACCGTTAAACATCATTTTAAGCTGTCACAAATTGGAAAAACAAAGTCAGTTTTCAACTGTCTCCAAAGCAAAATGTTCAATGTTCGAAAACAGAGACGAAATAAAAGAATTTTTCTACTAAATTAGGAATAAATTTGTTTTTCTTCAGATCTTGTGTTGAATTCAAAACAACGGACAAACGTCTCATACGAACCTTCCAAGAAGATAATGTTTTAAAAATGCCAAGGTAGAAAGGTTTCATTTGAATGTCATATGCAATTGATTGAAGTATGGATTCGGATATGGATAGTTTGATGGTAACGAAATCAGATTATGACATATTGGATGTTAATTACAAGGTATTTATCTTTTCCTCCAAGAATACCATTTCCGATGCGCTTTCAGACAAGCCTCTATGCTATTTCTGATGAGGAAAAGAAACGAGATGTCAAGAAATGGTTGGAACAATCGCAATAATCTTGCACCTGAAATATACTTTCTTTCTGTCATAAATGCAAATGTATAATATTATTATGAAAAATGTTTTTATAGAAAATAAAGACCAAATACCTATGAGTCTTGATGATCACATGAATCTGTTTGAACTGTTGAGATATCACTTTCGTGTACCATCTCTTTACCTTTATACTCACATTAGCATATTCATGCACATCAGCAGTTCTCACGTTCATTCGTGGAATTAGCGTCCTTATGAACGGTTGTTTTCTCATCCTCTCCCTTTTCATCTTTTATTTTTTCGTTTCAGTTGTTTCCTTTTCGCCTACTTAGCCTATTTGTTACGTTTTTATATTCACATTGCTCTTACTGTTCATACTTCTCTGCCAATGGGGGTTGTATATGGTGAGAAAGGTTATGAAACGCCGAGCTGCTTCACCTACGGCTGTATTCAAAGGAACCCCTGGCTACACTTTATCTATTCAGCCTACATACATGTCTCATGAAATTCATTCATTCATATCCGCTGTTCTGGTGGAACGCTCTCTATTCTTAATCTCGATCATACTACCCATAAGAGATTATGAGAGAGCACAACCAGTTAGTGGAACGAGATTATCGAGCGCATCAAGAGAATCCATTGCTGATTTCTGAAGGAGCCGAGCTTCAAGTTTATACCAAAATCCACGATCAGGAAGAAAATCAATTCGTGCAATGTTTTGAGAAGCAACTTCAAGTCTCAAGTGCGGAGTGTTCAGAATCGGAGTCTGCTCAATCAGATGAAAGCACTGGAGAAGCAGATAAGGAACGGTTTGCAAATGTTTGTGCCAACTTCTTTGCTAATGATTGGGTACTCTGTGAAGTTTTGAAGCGCATCAATGATCCTCGCGTAAGTTGTGCTTGTTATACTTTCATATGATTGCTGTGTTTCAGACGAGACGTGATATTGAACTAACTTCGAAGAAGTTTTATATGTTATCAAGAAGAACTCCCTATCATATTGGATATACCAACTTGAGAGTGAATGTATCATTCTATGATGAAGAGCTGCAGCAGTTCTGCAAAGTGACAGTTGAGGGTAAATCTGGGTCTTATTTCAAAATGTTACATGAATTCAGTAGACGTCGTTCCGTATTAGGTAATTGGAAGATTAATTAGTTTCTATCAATTAGAATATTGCAGGTGATCTTTTGCGTTTAATTGGCCAAAGGTATTCTCGTCACGTTTTCCGTCTCACTATACACAGCGTGATTGATTTGGATATTCTCAAAATTTTGAATGTTTACTATAGTCGTATCTTTGAACTATATTGTCATGGGTTTTCCTCGAAGACATTAGATTTTCGTAAGTTTTCCCGATGGAAACGTCTCTTCATGATTTATTTTTCAGTATATTCCCCAGAATGTACTATAGCCCGTCGAATAGTGAAATTGGGATTGTATGACTTCAGTGTTCCTGCAAAATGGCAGAATCTATGTTTGGTAAGGAGATTCTGATCAAAAATAGTTCATGTTGTTTTGCGCAGGTTCCATTCAAGAAACTTCGGTCGATAAGTCTCAAAGTTTGGCAAGGATGGCCTCTGAAACATTTAATTCAAAATTTGAAAGAGATTCACACCTTGGATTTCATTAGCATCAGGTTTTCTTAGTTAATGGCTTCAACCTAAAATGTTTGGTTCAATTTCAGAAACTCTTGCTCATATTACAAACGAACGAAAAACGATGAGTGTCCGAATTTCACAAAACTGGGAAGCTTCTGTAAGCAAATGAGGTTGTGTGATCAGAACATTCTATCTCTTCCTGTTCAGGATTATATTTTGAGTACTAAAAACGTGAGTTCACATAGTTACCTACTTATACTCAAGCCTTCTTTGCAGATCACCCATCTTGAACTGTGGCTATGGAGTTTGGTGGAAATTGATATTGTCCGGTTCTTCCGATGTATGTATTACTTCTTCTATTAATCTGGTAATACTGTTATGTTTCAGCCATTCAACTTGACCAATTAGTATCTGTATCTCTGAACAGGTTGTTGTTCACGGACAACATCATATCGGCTATATGCTCAAACCACAGCAAACATCCTATTTTGCGAGATCTACACATAGAGTAAGTGGAAGATTGTTGGCGTTCTCATGACATCTAATTGTTTTTCAGTGGAGCTTACGATTATGCAATGAGTAATGATCAACTCTTCAGAATTTGTCCTCCGTCTTTAGAATCTTTGACGATCAAGCAATGCAGCATACAGTCCACTGATCTTGACATGCTGCCTCAAGTAAGAAACAAATCGGATATTCATTTTGATATCTTCTTTTTAGCTCTGTCCAAAGCTGAAATATCTTTGTTGTGATCCTGGAATCATACGTGAGGATATTCCATTCGAAGAGCGAAGGCGCTTCTCCGCCAAGGGTATCAACTTCATCTGCGTAATAGCTCTCATGGTTTTATGAAATAAATCGATCTGCTTATAGACAGTGGTAAATCTCCCTCATCTCGAACGTTTCGTCACTCGAATCAGGTTGCCACCCTTCTTTCTCGAGCCACTCTGCACGGAGATGACGACGGTAGTGAAAGCTCAGTTTCCCATTCATAGAATACGGAAGGATAAAGTCTTTGAGCTGGTAAGTAGAATTCTAGAAAGTGGCAACTAATACATTCTTTTAAGCTCAAACTCTATTTCAAAGTGGTGAAATTCACCAAATATCCTTATATTTTGGACTTGGAAGATTCCGATGTGCAAACGGGAATCGAAAACAGAAGAGAAGTCCTTCCACCATATCTCGAGCATTTCCCGTTCGGTAGCATAGAATTCTGCGAAACCTGGCATGTGATTGTAGAACAAAGGCTAAAGAATCCTCCTACTGTTTTACCAGATTTTCGTGAAGCGATTGTTCACGGACAATTGTGTTGTTGTGATCGTATTAATTCGTTATTCTAATATCCATTTCATTGAATAAGCATGTACTATAAAGTAATGAATGTGATAATCTATCAATACACTTCTACTGTTTCACTCAGTTCTATTACCGTTTACTAGAGGGAATTCAAATTAGAGTAAGCGGAAACGACGCTGAAATTAGCATAACCACGATGAGCCGCGTGTGCAGAAGTTTATACAAACCATTTCGCTTGCACTTGAGTTTTCAAAACAATAGGGAATATGGTGGTAGATCAGGTTAGAAATGATTTCCGTTTGCAGTATTGATATCAGTGTACTTTGTAGTTCGCACTGAGAAATGATGATTACTGATACATAGAAGGGTTGCATTCCTAATTTCCTGCGTAACTAAGGTCAGTCATTTACTTTATCATTGAGCAGTTTGACGAGTTGGCATATTTTCGTTGGTTTTCCGAAACAAGTCAAGAAGAGGGGGTGCTGGAGGCAGGTGTTTAGGGCATTTTTGATTAAAAGATTCAATCGATCTTAAATCAATTTTTGTAATTCAAAAATATCTATCTCTTTCCACTCGTTCATCTTCTCTTCAATCAGTACACTTCGTTATCCACTATTCTCTCTAGACAAGCCTAATAGCTTGTTCAGCATAAAAAAAGAGATATCCTCAAAGAGATTTCTCTGTTAGTTTCAAATTAATTCACTCTCGGATCTCGGGGGCAGCTAGAGGGCGATAAAACGTCTGGATGAATCCATTACAGCAAAAGATGCGAAAAGAAATAGGGAAAGAGATTTTCTTCTATTTTAATTTCCACAAATGTTCTCATTTATGAGTCATAGTTGTGGAAGGCATTGGCAGGATGAATGAATGACCACCAGAACTGATTTCTGATAACCTCTTGGTTGCAAAACTATGAATCATAGAACCATGTAATGAACTTATAGTTTGGTTTTGCTCCTGATTTGACGGTTCCATTGTTAATTCGTCCTCAACAGGTAATTGGGAGGGAAAGATCAATCTAATGATAATGTTCGTCTTTACCTGATTGTTTTCTCTAACTTCATGACCTTTCGTATGACGAAAGTGATGAATCAATCTCATCTGGGGTTATCTTCTTAACGTGGTTTTGATTCATTCACTTGAGGCACGAAAGTCCTTTGACGGCTTTTTTCTTACTCCATTCCCAATGACTGCTGTTGCTTTTTCTCTCTCCATATATTCTGTTTTTCTAATCTCTCTCTTCCTATCTGTATTTCTCTCCCATTCTTTTCTTTGCAATAATACTTCGAATTTTCCAAGGAGGCTAGTGCCGATGTAACAGTTGTCGGTTGTAGGCCATTTAGTCGGATCGTTCTACCACGTCGCCTTACTTCAGTCTTCTTAACTTGGCTCTTGCACTAACAGCTCCAGATGGCTTTTGTTTCTTTTTTCTTTTATCTATATGATCATATTTCAATATCATATTGAGCCCATCTGTAAACTTCAAAACGATGATATTGGGAAGGTCTTTGAGGTTTCAGACACAACTGACACACTATATCCTTTTGTACAAGAACAGTCCTATAACGCTTAGACAGTTCAACATGTTCATGTATCCATGAGCTATCCGATGTCTATCGATATTCAAGACTTGATGTTGTTTAGGGTGATTTGATCCTGTTACTTAATGCTCTTTGCTCTAGGAGGAAGAATCAACTCTCTCTCTCCGACATAATAGCATTACCTTCTTACTATTGGGTGACGAAGACCTCTAATCACATTCCTTTATCCCAACACCAAAGACGATAATTTCTTTTGATGCGGAGGCGAATGAATTATGAACTGTTCCCGTAATGTTTAGAAACCATATGGACCATGTATAGTGTACACCTCTAATTAATGTATATGTTGTCTTATTGAAGATCTCTCCTTTCTCGACATCTTTGTACTCTCATTATTATACGTTCTATATGTTTATCTTATGATTCAAGTCATACTGGAGGTCAGCCTATTCCTCGGCCCGTCATCAGCAGTACTCCTCCTTTCCTACTTCGCACCCCTCATCTATCCCTCTTACCCCAATAACTCCGCCTTCATTCCTAACTTTTCCGTAATAATTATTGCATCATAATAATCTATCTTGAATAAGGCACTTTATCGATTATATTACGAGTTGAAAACTGTTTACTCACTTTTTTGTGCCATTCATGTGTTATCGCGTCTTCTCATTCAAGTAGCAACTTCTTATTCTGATAATCTCCGGAAGCAAATTGAATTGCTACTGGAGAGCTGATAGTTTGTTTTAGGAATGATTCGGGACATGTTCATTAACCTCAATACTTATTAACTCTGATACTCTTATACAATCAATTACTTGACCTAGGCTTCCCTCATCGTATTTGGCAAACTTCCATTGATTACTTCTCCAACCACAATTAGTTATGTTTCGGATGGTCTTCTATTAATCTCTCTCCCGCTCTTTCGACTGTCCATCTGTTGAAACTTTTTGAAGTTTTCTTCGCGTTTCCTTCATTTTTTCCGTAATGGAGGTTTTTCATATTGTTTTTTCCTCCATCATCTTTGGTCATGTGTGATGAGTCAATGCTATAGCCTTTCCTGCAAGGATTTAATCAACAAAACTTATATAGCATGTTGTGCTGTGTGCTACATTCAGACCTCTGAATGATATAGGTTAATACAGTTATGACTCTTTGAAGAACTCAGCAGTACGACATCTGTTGACCATAACAGTCTTAAACATTCCCTTCTGACATAATATTTCTGATATTTCTACTTCATTAACCAACTCCTATCCTTCTTCTTCCATTCATCTACAAAAGAAAACGCACTTGGACAAAGATAAAGAAATAAACTTTTTTCTGGAAGTTCTCTTTCTCTTCGTTTCTCAGTTATTCTCTGCAGCTGCCCATATGGTTTTTTTTGCCTTTTATCTCTATTTTCTCTCTTTCATTTTATACTCTTTCATCAACAGATGTCTTCACGCCGATCGACGTCGTGCATTTTCTTTGATTCTACAGCTGCCACAACTAAAAAGTTCTTAAACGCTCATTTTAACTTTCATCTACGAAATCCTCTAAGGCTCGGATCTTCCAACTTCTCCATTTATAGTCATTCACTTGTATTTTCACGCTCAATCTGTTATGGACTGTTGACTCAAATGATAATCATTTGCATGAAGAGATTGACTAGAAGCTCTTGAAGCTTGTATGAATAGGTCAAGTCCGACACGTGAGCAACTCACGTCTATCTAACTCGCCCCATATTTGGTCTCATCTATTACTGCCATTACTGTCTTTCTTTGCTGATGTACCTTTATAGCATCTCTCTCCTCTTCTCTCTCAACATTCTACTACTCATCTGTGCTCGTTTGACCATTTGCATAACGTTTGTCTACATAATTCTTTTTCTCTCGTCTCTCTCATTTTTATGTTTCCTTCTCAATTGAAGCAGAATGCACGTACGGACATACTACTTCCTATCTATTGACTTAACTTTGTCTTATGGTCAAGCCAAACTACTTTAGGCCAATGGCAAATGACCGACTTGTATACAGGTCCTTCAATCGGCTTCAGTATTTTATAGTTTAAGCAATTTCTCGCTGTTTCATTTTTTTATATTTTTTTTCTTGATGATCGGTTGTGTCTTTCATTTCTCTCATGCAGTAAGACGGAGCGGTTGCTTCTCTTCTGATCTCACAGAAAGTTTTATATCAAAGTTTCAAAACTGTTCCTTTATTTTCAGAAGATATCATAATCTTCAATCGCTATATCGTCTCACGATGGTGTTCATTTGCCGTTCATAATGAATGTCTGAGAATGATAGATACTGACTGACCTCCATTGATAACAAAAATGCCCTCCTCTCTTATATTTTCCGTCTCTCTTTTGCTGTAGTTCTTTTTTGTTCCACAAAAAACGAAAGGTGTTCTTTTATCATCCAGCCATATCGATCTTATCATCTACCATCATTACTGAGCACTGTTAGCTTAAGAAGTTGTTACATCTTCTCATTTCGTAGTTGTCTCTCTTATCAATACCTATAGGCGTTTTATCAAACTTTCAAATGTTTTGAGATTAATGTGCTCTCTCCTACTTTTCAACACCTCCTCTATCCGTTGACGCCAAACTTGATGGAACCGTTGAAGCTTCAAATGTTTCCTGTTATTTATAGTCAAACATGGACTGACAAAGAATAAAATTCCCATCTTTAATAGGACTATTTGCCCTGATATAACTTTCCCATACTATTTGAAAGTCTTCTTGCACTCATTTCATGACAAAATGAGGAGTTAGGATAGTCTGACAGAGACATCCTTTCCCCCTACTGTCTGTCTTCAGAGGGCGCCGGATTTCAGTTCAAATATTGTACCTTGGTTCTGTCACATACGACCTTTGTATTCAATCAAATAATTTAATAATTCGATATCGTTTGAATCTATTTCTCATCCCTGAACTTAATTTCTTTTCCAACTTTAACTTTTCTAGTATATTGAGCCATCGCGGGTAGCAAATCCCATGAAAATATTGCTTTACCTGTTGGCCCTTGTGCCTTGGATAGCTGGTCAGCCGGCGGAATTATATCCTTCCATTGATCCTAACCATTATGGAGCTGGTAAGTGATTAATACATCGAATTAAGTTATATTTTTATATTACAGATGGAAATCCATGTTATGACAAGGAAACTAAGAAACCTCAGCGATGTGTTCCTGACTTTATTAATGCAGCTTTCAACTTAGAAGTAGAAGTTACTAACACTTGCGGAGAACGCTATCCAACAAAGTAATATTTCATTCGTCCAAAAATTCAAATTGTTTTTTTTTCTTAAAGATTCTGTGTTCAATCTGGAAGATCTGGTATGCGAAGTGTATGCGACAGCTGTGATGCTAGACATCCTGTAAGTTTTTCTAAATCCAAATAACTTACGATATGAGACTGATTTTAGGCCTTTGCTCATCCAGCCAAATATCTCACAGACTTCAATAATGCCAATAACGAGACATGGTGGCAATCTGAGACAATGAAGGAGAACATGCAACATCCTAACACAGTTAATCTCACTCTAACCTTAGGTAAATTCTACTTCCTTCGTTCAGTTCTTACTTCTGTTTTGCAGGAAAAACTTTTGATATCACTTACGTTCGTTTGAAATTCATTTCACCTCGGCCAGAGTCTTTCGCTATCTTCAAGAGAACCACACTCGATGATGATTGGGTTCCATGGCAATACTACTCGTGAGTTTGAAACAACATAGCAAGTCTAAGTCTGTCTTTAGTGGTTCTTGTCGTTCCACTTTTGGACTTCCCGAGAAAGCTCCAATTCTTCCCGGAAATGAAGCTGTTCCACAATGTACTAAAGAATTCTCTGATATCTCTCCCATAACAGGAGGTAACATTGCCTATTCCACCTTGGAAAACCGTCCCAGTGCCCATGCTTTCGAAGACAGTGAAGTGTTGCAAGTAAGCAGTGAATGACAATGCTTGAACTACTCTTCTCTTTTTTCAGGAATGGGTCACTGCTTCTGCTATCAAGATTGTTCTCACCAGAATGAACACTTTCGGAGATGAAGTCTTCGGTGACGAGCAAGTACTCCGCAGTTATTTCTACGCCATTTCTGATTTTGCTGTTGGTGGTCGTTGCAAGTGTAATGGTCACGCTTCTGAATGTGTTCGTTCTGCTTCTGTTGAAGGAGATTCTCAACTGGTCTGTCGTTGTGAGCACAACACTATGGGTAAGCATTTTTAAAATGAGCGTTGTAACAGACTGATCTTTAGGTCCCGACTGTAATGAATGTCTTCCATTCTATCAAAGTCGTCCATGGCTTGCTGGAACATCGACTGAAGCCAATGAGTGCGTTGGTATGAGCTCACTAGAAGCAAACGATTTTTACTTCATTTATTTCAGCTTGCAACTGCTCTCAACTTTCAAGTCGTTGTCATTTCGATCAAGATCTATACGAGCGCACTGGAGATGGTGGTCATTGTTATGATTGTCAAGGAAACACTATGGTTAGAAAAAAACTAGCCGAAACTGAATCTTATTGTCCTTTAAGGGTGTTCATTGTGAAACTTGTGTTGGTGGACATTGGCGTCGTCCAGGGGATAACTACTGCGTTCCATGCGGATGTAGTGAGGTACGGGATTATTCGCGCTCAAAAAATTAGAATATGCCGTGAACGAGATAAATCGACGTCATAGTCATCATTTTCGACTTCGAAAGCACGTTGAACGGCTGTTCAAAATATTTTGCTTTGGAACTTACAATTATATGAATTCTTCAGACTGGTTCCATCTCAACTCAATGTGATGACCAAGGACAATGTATTTGCAAGCCTGGAGTTGGTGGAAAGCACTGCGATCAATGTCTGGATGGGTACTATGATTTTGGACCAAACGGTTGCAAGTAAGTTAAGAATACCGTTTCACTTTTAATATTATTGCTTAAGGGATTGCATCTGTGAAGTTGGTGGCTCATACAACAACCAGCCTCTTTGTGATCCAAAGAGTGGAACCTGCTCTTGCAAATCTAATGTCGAAGGTAGACAATGTAACAAATGTAAACCAGGATACTTCGACTTATCTATTGACAACCAGGTATTGCTTACTTCACAGTTCTTTTTCAAAGTTTCTTTTAGTTTGGATGTACTCCATGCTTCTGCTATGGACATTCTTCCATCTGTACAACAGCCGACGGTTACTACGCTATGAACATATCGACTCAGTTTGAATCAGGTACGTTCTTCTACACCTTATGATCATTTTTACTTTTCTCTTATCTAGATAAGCAAAAATGGGGTGCTATTTCCCAAATGGGATTCCAAGATGCTCAATGGACTGAATTAGATCATGCAGTTGCTGTTTCTGATGTCAATGGGGCTCCTGTATATTTCAATGCTCCTGAGCAGTTTTTGGGAGACCAGAGAAGCTCATACAATCAAGATCTTCTTTTCACGCTACGAGTTTCTCAGCCTGGAGCTCGGGCTAGCGCTCAGTATGTATAAAATATGTTTATATGTTAAAGCATAAGCACTACAGAGATGTGGTTATCGTTGGAGGAGGTGGTCAAGAACTATCTTTAGCTATCTTCGCTCAGGAAAATCCAGTTCCCAGTTCCCGACCACAGGTAAAAGAGCTTCTAGATATCTTAGTTGATATTCTTTCTTTTAGCAATATCGTTTCCGTATTCACGCCGATTCTATGTTCCAATGGAATCCTCGACTAAATGAACTTGACTTCATCGGAGTACTCTCAAACGTTACCGCTCTTAAGATCCGTGGAACTTATCAACACAAAGATCTTGGCTTCCTCTCAGACGTTCATCTCGGAACTGCTGGATTAGCTCCATCAGAAACCGATCCTAGAGATGCTAAATGGGTGGAGAGTTGTGATTGCTTGGAAGGGTAATTACTTCTTTCTTATTATAGTAATGCAATTGTTATTAAGATTTGTTGGACAGTTCTGCGAGTCTTGTGCCCCAGGTTTCCGACGCGAACTCAAGTTTGGCGGTCCATTCAACAGATGTATTCAATGTGACTGTCATGGACATTCCACCAGTTGCGATGCTGAAAGCGGTTAGTCAAATGCAGACTTAATTTTTTTATTATGTTTTATCAGGAGCTTGTATTTGCGAACATGACACCGCTGGAGATTCTTGCGAGCGTTGTGCCCGTGGTTTCTACGGAAATGCTTTAGCTGGAACAGAAAATGATTGTGAAAAATGTCCTTGCCCTGACGATGGCCCTTGTATCCTGCACACGGATGGAGATGTCATTTGCACTGAATGTCCTGCTGGATATACTGGAAGAAGGTTGGCACTGATACCAGATGCAGAAATTTATGGTTCCTCTTTTAAGATGTGACGAATGCTCTGATGGCTATTTCGGAAATAAAAAAGAAGACATTGACTGCCAAGAGTGTGCTTGTAACGACAACATCGACCCTAACTCAATTGGAAACTGTGACAAGTTCGTTGTTTCAGTTTTCGATCAATTAATATTATTGTTTACAGAATCACCGGAGAGTGTAAGAAGTGTATTTTCAACACTTTCGGATTCCATTGCGAGAAATGTATTGCTGGATATTGGGGAGACGCTCTTGCAGAGCCTAAAGGAGATTGTAAAGCTTGCATGTATGTCATGAAAATTATTGTATTTATTAATCTGATTGTTAAACAGGTGTCATCCTCCCGGAACTCGTCGTCCATCGAACGATTACACTGTTCTTGAATGCTCTCAAACTGATGGTCAGTGTGAGTGTCTTCCTCATGTTGTTGGACACAGATGTGATGAATGCGAAGTTGGATTCTTCAATATCACCTCTGGTACTGGTTGCGAAGCTTGTGAATGTGATGCCCTTGGATCTGTCAATGCCACATGCGATGTTCAAACTGGACGATGCCAGTGTAAGCCTGGAGTTACAGGAAGAAGGTATATTCATGCATATATCCAAGGCATCAACTCTCCTCTAATTCAGATGCGACCAATGTGCTCCTTACCACTTTGGTTTTGGACCTGCCGGCTGTCAACCTTGCGACTGTGAACCCATTGGTTCGGAAAGTGCCCAATGTGATCCTGCAACAGGTTAGCGAGTTCATCAAAACTTTAGCAACGAAAGTGTTCGTTTAGGACAATGTCTCTGCCGTGATCATATTGAAGGACGTCGTTGTGACCAATGTATTGAAAACAGATACGATATTAGAGCTGGTTGTCTGCAGTGCGATGATTGCTATACTCTGATTCAAACACGCGTCAATGATTTCCGTGCATCTGTTAAAAGTTTGGATAACACCCTCAGAGAGATAATTGAAAATCCAGCTCCGGTAGCTTTCTTAAAATTTGTTGCAAATTCATTGAATCCTTGTAGGTCAACGACACCGCATTTGATGATAAAGTGAAAGAAGTTGCTGATGAAGTTCAGAAGCTGGCTAACACTGTTACTGAGAAATTAGGTATATCTTTCCGTTATCAGTACAGTTATATGAGTTTCTCTTCTAGCTGCTGACGATTCTCAACTAGTCGGCCAAGTTGCACAGTTGAAGAAAGATATTTCTGAAGCTCTTCGTAACGTTAAAAGTGTTGATGAAATGATCGCTGGTGCCAAAGGAAAGGTCGAAGAAACCGAGACAGGATTGAAACGTTGGAAGATCATTAACGGTATGTATATCTTATAATGAAATGACAATGTTTGGTTGTTTAGAACAAGCTAGAAATGAACTTCAAAATGCTATGCATTACCTGGAAACTGAAGGCGCAACTCAATGGGAGTTAGCCAAAGAAGCTTCTAAGAAGTACGGAGAGCAAAGTCAACGGATGTCTACACTTGCCCATAAGACTCGTGAAGAAGCAGATAAGCATGAGAAACAGGCTACTGATATTGAGAAGCTTGCTCAAGAGGCCAATGCTTCTGCCAAGCAAGCTCATAAAGAAGCTCAAGACGCTATCTATGGAGGTGAGAGTTCATTTGATTCAGTTTTTTAATTATTTTTTAGGTGAACAAATTTCTAACCAAATCGCTGACATGAAGAATAAGCAAGCTCAATTGAACGAGACCCTTACTAGAACACTGGATCTTGCTGAAGAACAGAAGAAAACCGCTTCTGCTGCCAATGAAGCTGCTGCTGAATCTTTGGCTAACGTCGATAGTTTGAGACTACCAAATATTGATCCTAAAGCCGTGAGTTCATTCCAATGATTTATTTTTGTTATGACTTCTCTTTTAGCTCAAAGCTGAAGCTGAAGCTATATCTAACGAATCAAAACAAGCTATTGAAAACACCAAAAAGGTAGCGGAAGATAACGAATCTCTTCTTGAAGAAGCTGAGCGTGTTATTGCTGAAGCTAAGAATGAACTTTCGAGTGCTGAAGAACAGCAAAAGCTGGCTGATCAGCTCTTAGCTGATGCTGATGAAGCTAGAGACCGTGCTCATGAAGCTTTGAAAGTGGCTGAAGAAGTTTTGAAAGATGCTGAACAGACATTGCAAACCTTGAATGGTTAGAAACAGTTTTATACAATTTTACTGAACATTAATTATAGAATTCAATGAACGCGTCGAGAAATCTAAGGCAGCCGCTACTGAGCAACTGAAACAGTTGGACGAGATCGAAGAGAACATCAAGAAGGCTGAAGAAACTACAGTTAAGGCTGTGAACGCTATCGGATCCGCCGCCGATGACGCTAGAGATGCTAAAGAATTAGCAACGAAAGCAGGAGAAGACGCTAAATCCGTATCGGATGCTGCTGACTCTTTGAGGCAGAACGCAACACTCTCGAAGAACTCTGCCGAAAATTTGAAATCCGAAGTTCAATCACTTATTGATGACTTACAAGAAACTTCTACATCTTTGGAAGCTTACAAAACTCAATCTGAAACTGATAAACAGTTAGCTACAGAGGTCAGATTGTTTCCAGTAGAAGTATTAACTTTGTGATGTTTAGGCTGTACGTAGAGCTTCATTAGCCGAGAAAGCAGCTAGAGAAGCCAACAACACTGTGGCTAGCGAAGCAGATAACATCAAGAAGGTTATAGACCGTTTAAGTAAGTGCTTTGCGAACGAACAACTCATTGAAGTAAAAACATTGTAGGTGCATTAGAAGCTGTTAATACAGCAGAATTAGATGAATTGGAGAATGAAATTGATACGATTGAGAACATTCTCTCCAAAGCGGACCTAGAAAGCCAGTTGGCTGAATTCAAGAGCTTCAAAAGTGAAGAAAATAGAAGAATAATATTAATAAAAAATGAAATTGATTTCTTGTCTAAGGAGGTTTGTTGTTTCCGTCTTTGATCTTTTCAAATGACAATCATTTGCAGGTTCGAAACCTCGAGGAAATTCGGGATGCTCTACCCATTAAATGCTTTAACCAAGTTCGATTGGAACAGGAGGGGCAGAAGAAGCGAAAATAAAATTTTTGTCACATTTAATCTACTATTGTTGTTAATTTATGTTGTAAAAAATGAATAAAAATTTTAAACATGATACATGCTTTATGACACCTTTTCGATTTTCGGTTTGTATATCTGAGTCAAGAGATCCTTTGAGTCTATTCAATGCCCAGTCTTCCTGCTATTGAAGCTAACCGTTGAATTTTTTCCGCGTCAACTTGGCGACGAATGAGAGTTAACTTGTCCTCGATGTTGTCTCTCGAAGATATCAAACGATCATCGTAATTCCAAGTCAAGTTTCTAAACTCAAATTAGTTTTTGGGCTTATGTTACTCATTACCCAGGTGCGCATAGTTCCAGTTCAATCTTTCCGTCTAGCGGATTGAACCATGTGTTTCTATGTTTCGCATCCATTCTTAAAAGGTGGGATCAGTTCGTTTGGAATCTTATTGAAACTAACGAGATTGGTAGTGAAGCTCTGCCTAATTTGACAAGCTGATTAGTCTTCCAACCATGTATCATGAAATCTCGCTCAGGATTCCACTTACTATTGGTCAACCAATTGTCTCGAGCCCAACCTGTACCCTAAGGTGACTACTTACTTGACCATAGTGTTAATCATACTTTTTCTAGAATTTTGATGTTTCCAAAGTTTTCTTGTGCTCCAAGAACTGATCTGATGCAAGCCTCATAAACAGAGAGGTCTTCAAAATTCCGTGAACGATTATATAGTCTCACACAATGATGATATTCATACTCTCGTTGAGGGAAAACCGTCTGTGCTATATATATCTGAATTGATATTAGTAAAACGGTTATGGGAGAGTACTTACATGCAAAGCTCCATTATCCGTGCCATGAAAGCTATTGGGTAGTTTCGACTCCCAATTGGCGAACTCTAAATTCGAATATAGAGGTTCGTTAAGGCTTCGTCGGTACCTGTCAAGTACTTGTATGTCCATCGAGAATTCTTTGCTATGTATCCTCCTGCACTGATTTCATGGTTGAAGAATCTGTCATAATGGATTATATGGCTTTGATCATCTATGAATTCCTGTATCTTCCTGAACATACAGTTGATAACATGAGCTAAGCTTTTTCCTATACTTCCTAGGATTAACTACGCCGACATCTGCGTCTAAGAATAAGGTGTACTCAGCATTCTTCAGGAGATGAGCTACTACGCAGTGTCTTCGAAAGAATTTCTGTAAACTTTAAAGAATAATATATTCTGCTTTGATGTATCAAACGCCTCAGAACGGTTGCATTCATATAGCAGTTGTTGGAACTCACGTCTTTGTGGGTGCAGTTGTTTTCGAACATGTTGTCGGGAACTATTTCCAACTTGTATCCATGAATGGCGCAATAACACTTGACAGTGTCTGAACGAAAAGAGAGTTAGTTATCAGAGGCATAACATACCCAAAGCATATTTGTATATTTTTAAATCTGTTTTAGCCTCTACGACCATGACTATCTGAATATCCTCAGAGGATACATTTGATTCCTTATGATTAGCATAGCGATAAATCTGTAAATGCCAGTGTAGTTCATCATGTACAGAATGTTCCTGACAATGAAACTCACTTGGTTTAGATATGCTCTTTCAGAAATCGATTTTGGTAATGAGAAGTAATAGAACACTATTATGCAAATTATTGAAAGACAAACGAGTTTTTCTCTACCAATCTTAGGCATACCAGTCAAGTCCTTATTCTGACTTGAATGATACGATGGTTGTTTGTTTTGCGTTATCACTGTCACGACTAGATCATTCTTTACCACAAGAGCAGCTGATAAAAATTTCATTGAAAGTGTGCAAGCATGAGAAATGAAAGAACATGTATATACAGAAAACTCGCTGTATTTATATGAATTGTTATGGGTGGAGCACTTGAAGCCTTTTAGTTAGATGGGCTAACTGTTTGTATTTGTCCATATCAACACTGCGCCGGAACATGGTCAGCTTGTCTTCTATTTCGTCCGTAGTTGCTAGAAGCCTAGGATTATATGACCAGGTCAAATTGCTGAAAAATAATTAAGTTTCCTCAGAGCTTTTCCTACAAATAGAACCTTGAAGTGCACAAATTCAATTGTATAGATCCCTGTAGTGGATTGAACCATGTACTTCTCGACTTTTCTTGTATGCTAAATTGAAAGTTGAGGAGATACGGAGCATAGGAAAGGACTCACCTAAGAGGCATATGCTCTTTACTCAAATCCATTAGTTGATTGAGTTTCCAACCGTGGATCATGAAGTCACTATGAGGATTCCATTTACTGTTGGTTAGCCAGTTGTCTCTCGTCCAAGCCGTACCCTAAAACCATGTAATACTCTGTGAAGTTATAACTCTTCTTACCTTTTCCAGGATTTTGATTGGTCCAAAGCTCTCATGGCTTCCCAATACAGATCGTATGCATGCTTCATAAGCAAATAAGTCTGCATAATCCTTTGATATTTTGTAAAGTTCCATACATAAATAGTATTCGTATGATCTTCCTGGTAGGATTACTTCGGCTAGATAAGCCTAATCAGTTTATATATATGATAGGTATTGTTGCTATAATACTTACGTGTAAAGCACCATTATCTGTTCCATGGAAACTTTTTGGCAATCGGAACTCATAGTCAGCAAATCCTATCAAATGGTGACACAGTTCAGTGTACTCTACACCCACCTTTTAGAAAGTTAAAAGACCAGTCACTATTTTTCACCAGATATGAGCCTGCCATGACTTCTTGATTGTAAAACCGATCATAGAAGACTATTTCAACATCTTTGCATATGAAATCCTGTATCTTCCTGAACATGTAGTTGATAACATGAGCTAAGCTTTTTCCTATACTTCCTAGGATTAACTACGCCGATATCAGCGTCTAAGAAGAGCGTATACTCAGCATTCTCTAATAGGTGAGCTACTACACAGTGCCTTCGAAAAAATTTCTGTAAACTTCAGGAGTATATATCTTTCTCTGACGCCTTAGACGCTTCAGAACGGTTGCATTCATATAGCAGTTGTTGGAACTCACGTCTTTGTGGGTGCAGTTGCCTTGGTATATATTGTCGGGCACAATCTGCAACTTGTATCCATGAATGGCGCTATAGCATTTGACGGTGTCTGAAAGGAAACACTATAGCAGTTGGCTACATAGGCATCACATACCTAAAGCATGTTTGTATGTATCTAAATACGTTGTAGCTTCTATCACTATGACTATCTGAATATCCTCAGAGGATATATTTGATTCGTGGTGATTAACATGACGATAAATCTGCAAAAGCTCGAGTTCATCATGAACAAAACATTCCTGACAATGAAACTCACTTGGCTGGAATACACTACGTCAGTCTCCACATTTCGTTTTGACACATATATTATGAATATTATGCAAATTATAAAAACAAAAAAGAATGCTCGTGTTTTTCGCAAAGCAATTTGGTTCATTGCCGAACGTACAGCATGCGAGCACTACAGGATAATTCAGTTGAATAGTCTGTTCAAACACACAAATTATATATATGTTGAACTGATGTATCAATAGTGACCTCACTTGTGTAACTATCAAGCAATGAATTGGACATTAATAATTTTAAAAACTACAAGAGTTAACTATGTAGAAAATTGAGCATATTAAGATTTGGCAAAACGTCGATATAGCTTATGCGCAATGCTGGGCATCAACTCTGTTCTCACCACGCTGTGAGTCTCCTGAGATACCGTTATCTTTCGCCCGATTTCTCCAAGAGTGCAGGTTACTATTTATGGACAGTTGAATGCAAACACAAATGCATTTATTTCAAACTATCATACATGTATCAAGCTAATTAGAAAAAAAATGAAATAACCGATTAGTTTAAGACATGATAGGGTTATTTGCTTCAAGCTGCAGGAGCTGGTGAAATAGTATGGTTGTCTGGCTCTGAAAATTTGAAATGTTAGATGTGTTAGAGTCCCTTCCCTACCTTTTGGATCGTTTTGAACTGCTATATTTGTAGCTGACGAAGGTTGAACCGGCTCCGATGAATTCATTGCACCTGAAGAACTTCCAGATGAGTGGACAACTGGTTCCACAACTTGAGCAGAATGCTGCAAAATAAAGACTATACACAATGTCAATCTTAAGAACTGACTACAGCCGTTTTGTTGTCCGAGGATGTCATATTGTTTAGCATTGAGGTTACAGCTCCATTATGGGAACCATCTTTTGCCGCTTCATACGGACTCTGAGTCGTAGCATCTTGATTTTGAGCGAACAAACCATCTGTGACAGTAGGATTTCTGTATATCTTTTCACATCTGGGCCATGTAAACGCGAATATCAAACCTGACGTAGAAGACAGTAATCAGTACTGCTACAACGATGAGTACAGTTAGCGAAACAACTGGGACGAGTATTTTTGGAGACAAAAATTGTTTGAATTCAGGCATTCAGACAACTTGCTCCTGTCGTTAGTTGACTACAAACTGAATTTTTCCAAGCTATTTGGGGATATGTGCTTAAACTGAGTCTTAAAATCCTCCATAAGCTATATATTATCCGAGATAGCTTCCTTCTTTTTGTCGCCTTCCCCGCATTAAGTGTCTCAATCGGATATATGACGTTAACATACAATATCTCTGTATATTGATAATATTTGTATTATATTCAAACAATATATTTGTACCCTCTCAATTGGCAGGATTATGCAAATTACACGTGACACGTACACCAACGATGTACTTCATTTGTCCGCTTAGTGGTTGTAATGAACGGTTGCATTTATACAAATTTCAACATGTTATCATAGAACTGAGTCTTTTACTGTCTGTAACGCAATAATCGATAAATTCGAAATTTTGTCTAATTTACAGCAAATAGAGTTGCGTAGATGTTCAATTGTCATTTAAGGAATTTTGTTATAGTCTAATCTACAAATGTCAATCGATGACACAACACGCTGGTTCAGCTATTGATAAGAATGGTGGACAAGTGTAGAAGACAATCTTTTTTCGTTTGTTGTGAAGTATTTTATTCATTTGTTGAACTGTTAAGAGAGAATGTCAAATGCTTTGCGAGCTTCTCATCTGTCTTCACTCACAACAACAACAGCAGAGCAACCTTCTACATTTGATATTATATCACAAGAGTCTCTAACCAAATCACTCAAACCTGCTCTGGGTCATCTTCTCAAGGTTACCTGCTGTCTTTCACATGTTATTCTCATTTTTTTTGTTTTTCAGTTCCTCAGCTTAACTAAACCCCAAAAGTTCCGGACGGCATATCGCTATTATGAAGAGTTATATCTGATATTTGATTTCTTACTTCAATCTCATTATCTACGTCATTATGGTAAGTCTCGAGTATGTTTTCGCGACACAATGCGACTTATTCAATCAAGTCGATCAATAAAAACAAAGGATATGTTTTTTACTAAAATTACGAAATAACTCACACGCAAACACTGTGGTCTTTGTTGCCATGAAACTTTGACATTTCTGAATAAGAGGCTTTGTTTCTCGCATTTCCAAAAATCTGCTATGTGTTCATGAAACGCTGGGGCATGTAGGGAGACCGTGAGAAATTTACGCAAACTATGAGCACGTTACTTTTCAGGAGGAACTTTCTCTGAAAACTTCTATTCAATGAAGAGAACTGGTGACACTACTCTTCAACCTCCCAGTAGTGGCATGGCATTTGCTAAATCACTGGCAATTACCTCGTTATGGCCTTATTTGAGCGATAAGCTTGATGCTATTCATAAGCGCTTGAAGGATGAACTGCAGCTCCCACACTTATCCACCTCATCCGTAAGCAATTTCCACAACATTTTTTGAAAAACAAAAAATACCAAGAAATGCATTAGAATGTTTTTCTTTGCGAAGCAACCGCTCTCTGCGTACGTTGTTATTAAAATAAGATTTGTTGTTTCACGTGGAAACTCACGTGAAAGCTAAATAACTAGTTGGATTCGAGAATGATATAGTAATGTGATAACTATTATTATATTGCAGGAGGCAGTCAAAAAAGCCAAAAAGATGTTTGTTGCTTTGTGGCCTTGGATTAAGCGAATTCTCTCAATAGCCACAACAATTATGCAAATTTTGTAAGTGGTTGATATTGAGAAAGTGATAAATCTGTAAATCTTCAGGTACATGATCAACAGGAGTCGTTTCAATTCTCCTCTTCTGTATCTCGCAGGTGTTCGTTTGGAGAAACTCACACCTGAAGACATAGCAAACTTCGAATCGATCCCTCTTCATTTGCAGGGAACGGGGTAGCATTGAAGCAGAGCCAAACCTTCTCAAATCAAACATTTAGTATCCTTAGTCGTCTGTACCGGTTCATTCTCAGTTTACCGGGTGTTTTCTCCAGAATATTCGGCTATTGCTTGTTTTTCGTCCAATTTATCGACTACATTTATAGCGGAGACTTTAATTCGCAGCTGACGAAGTTAAGTAAGGGGAATACCCTAATCCCACCAGCACCTCACGAGGTTCGCACAAAAACAGAAACGAAGCCTCTAAAACCGAAATGCATTTAGATGTTAAATTCAGAGTTCGTGCACAGCATGGAAACGAGCAAGTGTCCTTTGTGCCACAATAAACGGATAAACGATACAGCTCTTTCCGTTTCAGGATACGTCTTTTGCTATTCATGCATCAGCGATTATGTTAAGAAGTATAAGAGGTAAGTGTGTTGGTTGTATATATGTTGTTGGCTGATGTAGCATAAACATATATACATCGCAAGTCTGAACTTATGTCTTTCCAGATGTCCTATTACCAACAATCCGACAACTGTGGCAGATCTTATTCGTCTGTACACACAATAAGTTGGCTTTCAGATTGGAGAATAATAAAGTTTTCAATGATTTTTGATGTTTTGGAGCTTTTTCTTTTTCAATTGCCAATCAATGATCTTTAGTTCAAAATGGATAGGCCAGTTAGAGGTAATTAACATGCCGCCTTATTCAGGCTTCAGCAACGACTTGGCCATTCTAGGCTTCCCAAATTAATTATTTGTTGTCCTTGGTTGAACGATTACCAAGCTATTAAATGATTTGGATGAAAGTTTTAAAAACTTTATAAGGAACAAATAGCATATACCAGATTACAAATATCGCAAATAACAATGAATGACATAGTGGAGTTTTCGATAAGCATGAAGAAGCAAGATGATGACGCGGGTAATACTATTGGAATATCAGATGGAGCTGGGTTGTGTTAATTAGATTCAGCATAGACATAGCAGGTGATGCCGAAAATAGAAATGAGGTTGACAAATATGTTCGATAATGATAAGTGAAAGTGTAGATAATCTATGCTCAATTTTGATCGGAAGATCAAACTAGTCGGCTATCATGAGGAAAAGCTTAGACGAATAAGGAAGATGATGAAGCCTCGAGATCATAAACAAGTGAAATTTCCAAATAAAAGAAGACGTCTCTCCAAAAATGATCTGCTTTGTTCATTCTGAGGTATTGTCTTTTGGGATTTATTGCTTATCCATGCTTCTGCGATCGTCCTTACCGGCTCCGTGTATTTGAGCAGCTTTTAGTGGAGCGCAGTTCTGAAAAGAGTAGACGTTAAATGTTTTGTTCCAATAGTTGAATTCAATAGTCTTTGTGTTGTATTTGGTTATATGGGAAAGCACAAGAGTCTTCTCAGCTGATAGATTGATGCCGTTAGGGACTACGCAACTGATGAAGATCGCCAATGTTTTGACACTCATGAACTTCGGAGGAAGAGAAGAAAGATGAGGTAGTTGACGTCAAGAAACTCGATGATGACGTCAAGTTCGCAAAACTCAAAATGAACTGTGTGAGTTACCCATCACTTACTAGTATTCTTTGTTTTTTCAGCAAAAAAAATTCAAATGGGACAAGTTACTACAAGATACGGCTAAGTCAACAACTTTGTTTTGTTGTCTGCTTATTCCTTTCATTTAACACAATTCTGACAGGATTTCTTATTTCGCAAAATAGGAAATCACAGAAATTTCTATTAATATTCTCAAAGGGAATGGAAGGCTTTGTCATGCAATGAAGAGCTCTTATGTTCTGCTAGTTCAACATAGGTCTTTCAAGGTCTCTCCTCCACACCAAAAATCATTTGGTATGATCCGAGTTGGATACATATGGGTTTAGGAACAATGAAACTTCTAGAATGACCGGTTATGTCTTTCATCACATCATCGACGTCCGCTCTTCTTCTTCTTCTCCTCTTCTTGTTCGTTTGTCTGCACATATGACGTCAGTCCAGCGAAAAGCACACGGATGATCAGGTACGCTGACGAAGACGATGACGATCACAGTGGAGAGACGCTTTTTGTTCAGAAAAAAAAAGAGGAAGAAGAAAGAAAATGGAACACGTCTCCTTTCCCGGCTTTATCTCGAAGATCAACACTTTGCTCGCGTCAGTGTTGAGAAATGAGGGAAAGGTGACGATTTTCGACAGTAATTCTGAGACATCTATGTTTGTCATCGGCCAGGATGACCAATGACGTCAAACAATTTCAGATGGAATGTGGCAAGTTCGAAAGTCTATAGAATGCGGAGAATTTGTGAAGTGTGACACAAAGACTTGACTAGATTTGGACCGGAAATGTTTCAGAAGCTTAAAAGTAAAAGGACCGGCTACAAGATGAGCGTTCACTTTAGATATTCATGAAGATGAAAGTACATTGAGTTTCAGCGAAATCTGATGTAATTTCAAATGACGGAACAGATGTGAACCGCTTATCAGCACTATTGCGAGACTACAATTGCTTGTGGGTAGGTGCATTTCTATGTCGGCTGATATGATATATCGGTACAGATGTTAAGTGTGCGGGCAAAAATGGATCAAATACTTTACCTGGTTACGTATGAAGAAATCAGATGCTGAACTACGATTGATTGGTGGTGGAGAGACTAATCGTTGACGACAGTGTTGGTTCTCTGTGACAGTAATGCCATTTTCGTCAGTTATGCGGATGATGCAAGAAGTGGACATGCTTGTGTCTCGAGAGTATAGGCTTGCAAGCTGTACGGAACTGAAAAACTGCAGAAATGAGTATTTAAAAAGTAAGTGAAGTACTGAAGAAAGTATGAGGTTTGTTTGAATTTAAACGAAAAGAACAAGTAGGTGCATTTGAAGGATGTTGTCGATCAAACAACGATTTTCATCAATGGTTCTCAACACAACATAGAGGAGAGCAAAAAGAAGGAGGGAATTCATGTGTATAGAAAACACAAACGGAGGTATTTTGAAATTTGAGCATAAGAAATGTTGAGGTTGTGAGGTAAAAGTTCAGATGTGCAATGGTTTGTTATTCACATCTGTTCGTAGAAGCGAATTGAGAACAACATGACGACGGCAGTGATATGAGGGATGAGCCCGTTCTAACATGTAAACTCATTTTCAATCTCTGTGTGTGTATGTTTATGTAAGAGTTTCAAGAAATGAATGAGTTGGCGGAGAACCACTGCAAGCTAAATCTGCGAGTGCCTAAGAAATTTTCAATAATTTTAGTTCCATAAAAGGTTCTGCTGGCTTATAGTTTCTATCGGAGAAAGCTTTTACGTCAGCAAAAATGAGGAGAGCGAATGAACAAGAGCAAGTAAGTGAAGCAATTTTGGCAGAGATTAAACAAGACGTCTTTAGCAGAATTGGATTGAAGTTGAAAATTCTTGAAAGACTGATGCAATTGGGAGGAGGAGAGAAGAGAACGAGAACTGTTATGAAGTAAGTTTCATTGACATTTATATATGGATAGATAGGAAGGAGAGATAATAAGAAATGGGAGGTAGAACACGAAAATAAATGTTTTGAAGGTCTTCATATCTTTAGAATGTAGTTTTCTGTAAAAAAATAAGAAGTATAACATTATAAAATTAAAAATAGAAGATGGGACAACCATCTCGCATACGGCTTCAGTTGCCGTCTGAATATCCTTTCTGACAATTTGGGGGAGGGCCTTTTGAAGAAGGCAGAAATTATGGGCGGAACTCCGAAAAAATGATGTGACGACCACGTTGAGCATCAATCAAGCTTCATCAACCGTGGACAAATATGTAGACTAGCTACGAGAGTATATGAGTGTTTCGTTGGAGAGGCTTTCCCCAAATTTTAGCTCCGCCTCTTCGAATGGGTGTGTATCTCTTGCAGTCTCGACTCTCTCTTTACTCTCTTTTCTCTCTCTTTTCTTTCTTTCTTTCTATCCGTTTTTCATCGTTTTCCTGACGTTCTTTGCTCCTCTCGTGGAACTGTCCGATGGAAAGTAGCTACAGATAGAAGTGAGGAAGTGAGGAGACAGAGAAAGAGAGAGAGAAGAAGATTTGAAAAATGAAAGCAATGATTTTCCTCCAGACTGCCGACTAAATAGGAAGCTGAACAAAAATTAATTAGAGCTATTAGAGAGAGAGAGAGAAGTTGTGTATCATCAACAAAAGCAAGAAGTGTCAGCTTCAATATGATTTTTCAAATGTCATCAGCTGAAGATATCAACGATCGGCTTAACCTTCATCTTATTTTTGAAAAGATAAACTTCGAGCGAACGAGGTGAGTTATTCGTTCCAGAGGAAGTGGGGCAAACTTTTGGAGGGAAAGAAGTAATGCAAATGAAGTTTAAAGATCAAGAAGCATTCTTTATGAATTTTTTGGACGAAGGGACCCTAAGTTAACCATAACCGGATTGAAGTAGTTGGGAAGATGTTACTGACGGGAAGTCTTTGATCTGTCCATTCGGCAAACTCTTCCGAAAACAAATGAACCCTCCACTCACACTTACACTTACACATACGAACGTGATGAGTTGTGTTATGTGTAAGGGGAAAATCATAAAAATAGTTGTTGAGTCCAAAACTTGATTGATGAGTGTAAGAATAGCAAAGTGCATACGATTTCGGTTGGCCAGACTAACTTCTAAATATGGCTCCTGAAAATTATAAGCCACGTCGTGTAATAGCAGATTTCGCAACACAAAATTGGAGTCGGAATATATTTTTTCCAAAAATTTGTTAAAAATGGAAAAGGTGTTTTGTACGATAGAACTGAGCCGACTGCAAGTTTTCTGATCTTTGAAGTTTGTTGATTTGAACGAGAATAAACAGAACCCATAAGTTAAAATATAATATATGATTGCCATATTTAGCATATTTCGACATCCTCTCTCTATCCTTCTATCTCGAACACGACTATGGCGATGATGGCAGCGATGAAGAAGTTTTAATGTTTTCATTAGAGCGGGATCATCAAGCAAAAAGACAAATTCCAAAGTTCTCGCCATAATGTACGTGAGTACGTGACTGCGTAAACTTGCTATGTTTTTATTTTTGGCACAGAGGTGGCGGTGATCGGTTGCGTTCTTCTTTTTTTCTGCTGAATTTATTATTTCAAGTTATTTTCAGAGAAAAGAAAAGAATAATGGCTGTTATGGAATTTTATCGTTTTTATGACGCACGTACAAAGGATAACAAAGAAAATTTCAATAAAAAACACAAAAATTGATAAGAATCTGATAGAAACGAAGAGGGAGGTTTCGAAATGATCAGCGAACTCTCTCTGTACCTCGCTCTCTCACTCTCTCTGACATTTCGAACTATGTTCGTTGTGTCTCTCTCTCTCTCTCAGATAAATAGGTATGTTGGTAAATAGAGGGAGAGATATTGATTAATTAAAAAGTATTTATAGGAATTCTGTGTGCTAGGAAAGAAAAACGAATTATCTGATTAAGGGAGGATGAAACCCATTGTTGTACTTCACGTGAACAGCATTCGAAGAAATATTTCAAATGTTTTTTTGATTGTTTTTCATGCGAGTGATTCACGAAAACAAAAATTTCATTTATCAAATTAAAGAAGCTTCAGAAGACACCAGAGACGTCTCTATGCAAGTTTATCCGTTCTTGAACCTTTTTTGAATATTTTATTCAGCTGTGACGCTCTTGAATTGACGATGTGTGTCTTGGAGGAAAAAAAAGGAAGCTAATTGAAGACAGCCAGTAAATCTTCTGCTAATCATGAGATCCCCTAGTAAGTAACGTTTAGGCAGATAAATGACTTTTGTGCGTTTTCTGCTCAACACTCTCTAAGCTTGAACATTCGAAAGAACATTGGCCAACGTCTGGCCGGAATGACGCTTGCTGTATCCTTTCATTTTTTATTTTGCTTACGCCATTTTGCAACCAGAAATTCCGGAACGCTTGAAACCGCAAAAAGCTTGTTTTCCGGAAATGGTCAGCTGTTTCTTTCGTTTACGCATAATCAGCTGAGTTGGAAAAGTGAAATGATGTTGCCTGAGCGAATTGAGATGAGAAGGAAACCTGAATTGCAAAAACACCTGATGAGGCTTTTCCTCACTCTTGCTTCTGCTCGATCTCTCGCTCACTCATCGGGGGAAAAGAAGGAAACGCAAAAGCGGTGATTTCATTTCAAAAAGTGAGTAGATATTCCTCAGCGGTTCAGCAAACTTTTTCCTAATAGACATGAAAAGCAAAGGTTTTGCAAATCACTTGGGTAGTAGAAGATAGAAAAGGAGATGAGTAGAGATTGTCACATGGTTGCAAAGAGGATTCCCAGTAATTTATGAAAAATGAATACCTGGAGATTCATTATGAGCCTAGTAGACTACGTCAAAAGCCTAATTAGCAACTCATCGACATTTAATTTGAATTAACTATCCGAATTAGAAATGCATCTTTACAAAATGATATATTGGAACTGAGATGCATTGTGTCAGTAGCTCAGTTCTAAAAATAATCAGAATAGTAGTAGCGATCTAGAGGACAAGAGGATGATAAGCATTAGCTCTAAGGTGATCTGACTCATAACTATCGTTGAACGGTACTTAAACACCCACTCAGTCATGTAAATATTTGACCAAAACTGTCAAATAGCTTATGAATTATTATGAAATTTTTTTGTTTTTCCGTTAATTTTTCTAAAAGTGGAGCACTTGAAGTGATTGATCAAACTAAGTTGACGTGCAAACGTTCATAATTGACGTCAACACATTTAGATTCTTCCGTCTTGATTGCTCCTAAAACTTTCTTTCTATATATAGCGAAGAGAATCTTCTGGACTCGCTATATGAGAACATAAAAAATGAAAAAGCTTCTTCCCACAAATGAATTTGACGTCATTGACCGCGAATCAGTGGGGGAAGAAGAATTTGAGAGTAGATTGGGCTTTGATTACTCATTCACTTGAGCTGGAACTTGACAACGGAACTTAGTCATTGGATATCGAAAAATTAGGTTGTAATTGAATATGGTTTGATATTTATTCATAAAATGCTCTTATTTCATTTTTATTTTCTATGTTGCATCCGAAAGTTCAATAGTCCTTGTTTTCATATGGATCCTGTTGGCATGACGTACACAGGACGTTTGGAACATTCCTTTCTCCCCTCTCTCAATGTCTTTCTCTCTCTCTCTCCTCTCTTTCTCTCTCTCTATCATGTATCCTTTGTCAAGAGTTTTGTGTTGTCTTCGATTTATTGATATGTTGTTTACTCTACATTTTTTGACAAAAAAAACGTTTCTGACGTCATTTCTGTTAAATGACTCAATTCTCCATATGTACACACACACACACTTTTTGTTAAATAATCACTTCTTTCTTCATATATGATGTGTTTGTTTTTCAATAACTTTGTTTATCTTCCTCATCAGCCTTCTGTGTTCTTCTGATCTTCTCTTACTCTTTCCGCTCGGAATACCTTCTTTGCAACTCATTTACTCTGATAAGCGAAGAGTAACAATCGAGCCGTTTCTTGTTTTTCTTCAAACATCCACAGCGGAAATCGACCGGACGTTAACTACAAACAAAAAAAAATGAACTAAATCACGTAATGTTCACGTGAATTCCACGTTTCTTCCTCAAATTGAGGGATACCAGCCTGTTGACTTTGCATTGTCATTACGTTGATCTTTGAAATTCATCAAATCAAACTTGAGAGTGATACTTTCGATCTCCCTCAATGTATGATCAGCATTTTTCAAAAATAACTTGGCAGCTTTCTTTTTTAAAGAAAATGTTCCAGGCCGATGAATTATTCCAGCTACCATTATGTCATCACCTAACAACGAAGGGTTGCGGCTTCCAAGTTGATCATGTAAAGGCATGCCAAGATCTGACAGAGGTTGGTTTCTAAAATTGATTCAATTTCATTCCTTTTTAGGTTTACGTCGCAGTTACTTTTTGCGTCAGATTGTTGAAGGAGATGTAACAGTTCCGTACCAAGGAACACATGACTCTGGAAATCTCTCATCTCTTGAACAGAAAGCTGAATTCTATCGTTCGTTTGCAACTTTTTTTCCTTGCAAATGTTTCTCTTGCAGCTGTGAATTACTATGAACGTGAACGAGTTCGTGATTTTACTCGGAGCCCTCGACGCGTAGCTACAGCTACTACAGTTCGATCCTCGTCTCCTGAGGTTCTAAAATCATCTAAGCGCATAAGGTAAGGAGATCCTATCTTCTAACTCAATAGTAACCGATAGATGGAATGAGTCTGGTGACAGCATTAGAACCTTCTCTCCGGAACGTTTGAGACCACACAGTGCTGACTATGTAACGGATGGTAATCAGAGTTTGTTTGGATTCGTTTGATTTGAAATGAGTTTCAGTGAAAACGCCTCCTAAACAACCATCCGTTAAAAAGAGAAAGAAGGTCAAGTAAGTGGGCAACACAAAGAGCAACTGGTTGCTTACTCTTTTTTTCAGGAAACCTCGAAGTAAAAGCGAGGAAAAAGTAAATGCTGAAAGGCAGAAAGAACAGAGAAGGCGTGAACTAAGTGCGGAACGTCGTCGTCGGGAGGAAACAAAACTTAAACAAGAAGCAGAGAGAAGACGCAGGGCTCAACAAGACATTGAAGCGGCTAAACGTAGAGAAGCAGCCAAAAAGGAGTCGCGAGAAAACAGTAAACGATTCAACCAGAAGAAAACGAAGTCCAAACCCACTGTTGTCAAAACAGTCAAACGAAGTAACAGCATCGGAAATCACAAATACCAAACGAATGTAAGTAATTGTCATTGTGCACACGGCCGTCGAGTAAGTAAAACCAAACAGGGCGTCGTGAAGGTTTCAAATGTTCAAAATGTAGCTTGGTGAGAAAAATAGAAATAATTTTCACAACTTCCGCATGTAACGAAAGCCACATGAAGAGTTCTTGTTGAAACCCACGAGAAGCTCGATTGCCCTGTTCACTAACGTCATTCCATGATAGTAGGATGAAACTGAGCGGTTGTGTCCAATTTCAGAATCTTATATTGTATTTCAAACTTACTTTTTAGAGTAAACCCAAGCACTCATCCAATTCAACCGGAATGCGCCGTGCCAAATCCGTTGGGGAGATCCGCTTCCATGAGGCCAAAAGAACGATGGCTCCAAAGGTTTTGTGGTAATTACCGTTACATACTTACATTGCATTACAGATGAAAAAGCCTCGATGGAATTATGTGGGAGACCCAACAAGGAAGGCATTCAACACGAAAGTTCATCATGTGGTTTCTGATTTTTATTTTTAACCTTGTGGAAGATTGTGCATTCACTAATGTGCGAATGAAACTATTCATATATTGTTTGTTTCTATATATGGAATGAGCGGAACGAATAAAGATGAATGACCTAAACATTTGAGAATATTTTGATCGGATTTCACATTCCATCGTGTACTTTAAGCTACTCGGTAACGAGAACTGTGAAGGGAAGTGTTTAAACGGGATTCATATGTTACCCGGGAAAAAAAGAAAAGGGAAATCGAACCAGAGCTTAATACATCTGAGCTATTGGCTACAGATCAAATGAGCCTATCAGCTTCTAAAGAAGTATTATATAATCA